TTCTATCAGTTTGAGGTAGAGACCATCTATTCCAATTTTTTGTAGGGTTTTTATCATAAATGCATGTTGGATTTTGTCAAATGCTTTTTCTGTGTCTATGGAGATAATCATATGGTGTTTGTCCTTGGCTCTATTGATATAGTATATACATTGATTGATTTGCATATATTGAACCATCCCTGCATCCCTGGGATGAATCCCACTTGATCAGGTTTTATGATCTTCTTGATGATCTTCTGCATTCTGTTTGCCATTATCTTATTAAGGATTTTTGCACCTATGTTCATTAGTGAGATTGGCCTATAGTTCTCTTTTTCAGTTGGGTCTTTCTCTGCTTTGGGGATCAAGGTGATTTTAAGCCTTTTCTTGCTTTCTTTGTAAAATGGAAGACATTTTTAGATATCTTGGATCACACTGGTTTGGCTTTTTCTAAGTTTCCTAGGGAACAGGGGTACTGAGAATGGGTCCTACACCCTCCCTGTTAGGATACCACATGCTACCAGCCCATTCTGGTGGTAGGGATGTTACTTAAGAGTTGGCCCCTGATCCCAGAGCTGAAGGTCTTGAAGTGAGTAGGGTTGAGTTACAACTGGAAAACACAGAGCGTCCCTTGAGTCTGAGATACAAAGCAATGACCAGTTAATAAAGACAGGCAAAAGCCCATGATATGGAGGATGTTAAGCAGTCTGATTTCATCAGTTTTCCTCCACATAACTCTGGTAACTCATTCATTCCGGGGGTCCCAAACAAAGGTTCAAAAAGTGTCTGTCATCCTTCTTGACAGCTACTATATAAATATATCCTAATATATTTAAAGCAATGCAGAGGCTGGCCCACTTTAGCCAAGAGGTGTATGTGCTAAGGTTTAATCTCCTTCATTCATTCAACAAACACTTATTAGTACAAAACGGATGTAGAATATTGGTAGGCATGAAGATGACATGATCCTTTCTCTCTGGGGCTTAGTCCATCCCTTCACTGTTTCAGCTTCCAACTGTCTTCCAGAGATAAGTAAAAACTTAAAGCACAATTTTACTTTTGAAAAATACAGGAAAGCTTGTTTTTGCCTGAGTGAGAGTGGGTAAAATAAGCACACTGGAACCACACTCCTAAAACTCCTTTTCAATGATGACTCCTGTACTTAATAAGCAGAGTTTAGAGCATTCTTTATTTTTTTTATTTTTTAGAGCATTCTTGATTAAAATTTTCTAAACTTAGAAAAAGATTCATTCTTGGCCATTGCCTGAAAGTTTTCATGAAGTCAGGCAGTCTCTATCTCCCCTGCCTCAGCCTGCCAAAGGGGCTCTGCCTTCCAGGCCCTGGGCTGGTGACAAAGAACGACTGGTCCCACAGGTTCCCCAATTAGGCGTGGAGCCAGTGGGGAGAGCTGGGCTCCAGCAGCATTTTCCACTGGAGCACAAAGCCAGGGGGAGGCCCTGAGGGGACTGAGGTCTGCAGCTGGAGGAATGCCCCTGGTATCCAGCATTGCAGGCAGATGAAGTCATCAGAGATACAAAGCCTTTGGCAGGCAGCTTCTAATGATGCAACTGCCCTCCCCCCACTGTGGTCCCCTATGCAGAAAAAAATTCAACAGGTAGTGTGTGAATTTAAGGTTACTGTATTTTCTTTGGAGCTGAGGCAGCTTCCTTTATCTGGATGGAGGACTCGTGTCCTTTCTCTCACTGAGGAAACCAGGCATTGCTTCTGGGAAATGCCTGTCAGAGGCTCCAAGTGGGTCAGCCACCATGGCAACCATCGCCCAGCTCCCTCATGAAGGGATCAAACATCACGCTTCAAGCCTGACCAAAACTCTTCCTTAATTTTGACAAAGCCTGATAGTTCCAAGCACCCCATGACCTACAGTGGGGGCCTTTCCTTTGTTCTTGAAAATAGGGGGTCAATTCCTCAAATAGGAAAAAAAAGCCTCAGAAACTTCCTTTGCTGAGGGCGCTGGAGACACTAAATGACAGTGGTCTCAGGAGACACATAACAATGGTGCTTTCTACAATGAAGGAGAAACACCTTCCATGCTTTTGTAAGGACAGGAGGGGGTGAAATTTTTTCAAGATGAACCACTTATTATAATTATTAATGCATATTAATTGTACAGATCAATGGAATTCACTGTTAAATTTCCATACATGCATAAATTGTGCTTTTAATTTCTTGCGTGCTAGTTAGGGGTGGTTGTATATGATGAATTTGTATTTGATTGCAGGATGAACCACTAGGCAGATAATAAAGAGCAAGTTCAGATTCAGCATAGCACATCCTGACAAGGGAATAAAAAAGAAACCCTCTTCTTGCTAACAAAAGAAATCCTAGGAAATAACTTCTCTGAGCCAGTTTCAATTTCATCTATAAAATGAAGAAGCCAGAGCAGGTGGCCCTAAAAGTCCCTCTCCTCCCCTTTTTTGTTCTAAAACTTTAAGGCTCCAAAATTAGCACCTCAATAATTTTATATTCTCACCATTTTTCTAGCAGCCTGTCCTGAGTCCTAGGGTTCCTTGTTCAGCCTGTATAGGGAGAACCTTTGTGATGCTGAATCAGAGTCTAGCTTTTTTTTGGTGATGAACAAGTACTCACTGTCAGTTTCCACTTCTTGTTTCTGAAATTGCTCAAGGAGATTTTGCGCTCGTCTTTCTGGGTCAGAGCCTGGCATCATCCTTTTGAGATAATCCAGCAGTTTCTGTAAGCAAGGGAAGTGAGGCGGCTCTCGGAAGTCTTCTGCACATTGGTCAAGCCAGGCCCTCAGGATTGACGCGATGGCACTGAGAAAGAGAAATGGAGAATCACTACACCCAACAGGCAGTGGGGCTCAACGCAAGCCCTGCACATGGGGGCCTATTCTGGGTGTACACTGGGGAAACATGGGCAGGTGGTCAACAGATAGCTCACCTACGAGTTCCTGGAAATAACAATGAATTTAAAGCATTTCAAAACAAGCTTTATTATTTTCAGCAGTGGCTGAAGAGGAGGGATGGTGGAGATTGATAAGGTTCAAAAAAAGGAACCTAAACTTTGGAAAAACCCATCCAGGGCACAAAAAGACACGCAGAAGAAGATTTAGTGGGTTCTGAGTTCAAAGCAATCTATACATAATAGGGTTATGTGGTTTCCAATTCTGGACTCTCTCAAATCAAAGATCACAAAACCTACTCCACTAATACTTCAGGAGATAGCTGACCACCAGTAGGTCACCCAGGCTTAGAAAAGATAAATGCACAATTCTAATTTTACAAAGCTCACAAGACCTTCATGGCGAGCACCAAAAATGTCCATGTAAAATTAACCTTTTGTTTCTCAAATTACAATGAGGAGAATGTTTCAAATGGGAGAAATAGCAGGGTAGAGAAGATAGGTCTCTGAAAGGACTGGAGAAAAACCTGACAAGCAAAACCACTGTGAAGATGATTTCCTCTCGTGGCTCCACAGGTCACAGGCTCCATGCAGGGTCCACTTTGAGCAAAACAAGATTCCAAAGCACAAAGAGAATGGGTCATAGCGTGTGCACAGCCTTCTCCAGACAGTTCCCAATCACAGGGGTGCTGTCTCCAAGTAAGGGGCAGCCACTCACTCAAGGGAAGAGACACATGAATGACAATAAGGATAAAATGGCTTGAGTGCTATTACCCTAGACTTCCTACTCAAAGACTCCCTGACACTTCTGAGTCAAGCACATGATGGCGTGTGTCCCACAGAGAAGAACAGATACTTTGCCTCCCTAACAATCAGTACCCGCACAGCCAAGACATATTCACTGATGGCAGGGACTGCACACTAATCCATGCATCTATTATTGACAGACACACAATACTGAGTCTTAACTATAGACGCAAAATTTTTCAAAAAGATTTTTAAAAAAATTACCATTATTATCTAATTGTACTACAATTAGCTATAATGACTAAAAGTTATTTTTATCCATATATGTGAAACTGCAGTCCAGGCTTTCACAGGTATATATGACATTCACAGCAAAAAGCTGGACTACAGTCAGAGCATAAATATGACTAAAGCCCACTGAACACTTAACTTTTGGAATCAAAATGCAAACATACAGAAAATTGTTGTGTTAAATGTCTTCCCTACTGTGTACATAATTCTTTCACTAATTGGACTAGAAGGTATTGGGGACTATAATATTCAATTATCTAGATCGAAAGTAGATCAAATAAAAGTCACAGAAATAATTCAATACCTGAAATCTTTATCCAGATTAAATAAAACTATTAAAAATATTTCATTTCTTTCCAGAAAGCTTGAAGAAAGTAATCTGGGCTGTGAGATAAATCAAAAAATGAGTAAAATAAATCAATGGACTTATTTTGAGGGCGCTCACATTGTATTCGTTATTTCTCCTTTCTTCACTAAAACCAAATATTGTGAATTAAAGAAAATATTGTTCTAAGACTTCGTTTTTAAAAGGCTTATGATATTTTCTGTGAATAATTTCCTTCTTTCTAATCAGCAATGAGCTGAGAACTATGATATATACATAAATGGGGGACAGAACATGGGGGACCTGATATTTTCATAGAGCAGGCTGATTCCTACAAGAACAGATGTGCACTTCTCAAAAGAAGGATGAATTGATTTACTTAATTCCTAGCACTCACTAAGAATGCCAGTGAAACAATGATACTGATGAAAACACAAATTTGGAGAGGCAGTAATTCACATTATACAGTAAAAGTCAAAAAGATCATTGGTCTAACAATTAGACAACCTAATGACCCTTCTGGGTTTCATAACTTAAAAGAATTCTCACACTGAAATTCAAAATAACAGGTAAAAATTAATAATATTAATATATCATTTACTTCTTAATTGCTCATAGTTATTAATTTTGAAGTTACAAAACTCATTATTACTAAAATAGTAAATCTTAAAAGTAAACCTTCATCTAATCCCATTCCCATTCCCATGACCTGTTATGAATAGTTTGGAGTATATCCTTCTAGACTTTTCTAGACAGAGAGTTTATCCTTTCTAGACACATATTTGACTATACACAGTATGCATACAAAACCAGGTGTGGTGGCACACATCCCTAATCCCAGCACTGTGGGAGGCCAAAGCAGGAAGAAAGCAATTTCAAGCCCAGCATGGGGAATTAAGCAAGAGAAAAAATAAAAAATAGAAGGGCTGAGGAGGTAGCTCAGTAAGGAGGCTTTGGGTTCAATCCCTAATACCACAAAAATAACAGGTATACAAATCGACATGGTTTTTTCACTGAGCAGTATGTTATAGACACCTCTAGATCTATCTCATGGTTTCTCCTGACTACAGTGTTTCATGGCATAATTAATTTCAGTTATTCTCCCAGTAGGCAGATATTTAGGTAATGTTCAGGTTCTCACAATTACAGTTGTACAAAGTGTATCCATGATTACACCTCTGCCTGTCTGTGGGTCGTTTTACAAAGCATGTTCTGTAGAACTCACATCCATGGAAAGCTGCACCCTCAGAGGCCTGAGGGAGTTCAGAGAAAGAACCGTGGTCCCAGGCAGGCATGTCTACAGGTACACACTCTTTCCTCCTGAGTCTGACGCTTTCAACTAGCTCTGGTAATCTTCTCAGTTTACCCTCTGTGACAGTGACTTAACCTAAGAAGGCTCTGAAAATTCACTGCAAACCCACATACTGAATTTGCCAGAGAAAGCATTTGTCACACAAAAGAGGAGGAGGAAGAAGAAACAAAAGAAGGGAAAGACATACACAAGCAGCATGAAAAAATGCACAGTAGACCCCTGCTTCCTAATTGGCACAGTGTTTCTCAGCATGCCAGGGAGGGAGGCTTTCTGGAAAGGCCTGGACCCTTGCCCAAAGCTCACAGTAGCTTTATGTTTGCCAGTGCTGGGAAGAAACTTTCTGTTCTTGACAGAGTAAGAAGCAGATAAAAATGTGAAACTTTTAAGATTCCACAATGGAAAGCAACATCACAAAATCATGACTGAGAAAACACAATTATGGACAACGGCCTTCCATCCTACTCTGCCTGGTCCCACTCCTAAGCCCCAGCTTCTATCTTAACCGGGTCTGAGCAGGAGGATGCACAGAATGTTACTAGGAAGTCCAAACATATGGGAAAAGTGTGACTGTGGGAATGTCAGGCTAGAGAAGTCACCTGGGTCGGTGCACAGAAGAAAAAGGAAAACCTAACTCCTCAGGGAAATTAAGAGAATCAGATAAGTCAGTTAACTTCATTGACTCCTAACTGGAAAAGAGACAGAAATACCAGCTGCTCCTGATACCAAGCAGTTGTGACTTCAAAGGACACAATGTCAATTAAGACATTTTGAGATACCTGGAGACAGAGATGTAACTGTTAACAGAATTACAACTAGTTTCCAAAAATCACAGGAGGAAGGGACTGAGAAACGTAAAATGGCTTGGTGAAATCAACCAGTACTCGTGGAAACCAAGTCAAGAATTTTCCAGTTATCACAGAACACAGAATGTAAATTACATTATAACACACATGGGTCCAGGCCTGCAGGAGGAAGGTAACCACTGTGAACAAATATACAAGGGTGCATGTGTATGAACGAGTGCGCGCATGCACACACGCACGCACACACACACACACACACAAACCCTGAAGCATATTCCCTGGGACAGATCAATTCAAAGACAGAAAATTGTAATATTAACTACGAAACATGATTCTTGAATGACGTGCAAAGACTGAGGAAATAATTTCTGAAACCACATGGAAAAGTTAAGGTTGTGACATAGTCTACCTCAGTAAGGAGAAAAGCCAGTGTGTGGCTTCCCTGGCCAATGTAATCTTTCACAGCTGCAGAGCAACTCCTCAGCCCCCAGGGGATGTTAACCCTGAGTGTGGGTTAGGCAGGTGGGGAAATGTCACACCGAAGCGACAGCCAGAGTGGCATTTTCCACATCACACATTCTTGGCAACATGCAAGGTTTATGGCATGTGAGGGTTTTCCGACCTATTACAATGACCATGGGAGAAAGAAAGACACACTTGGATTCCAAATATAGAACTTCCAAACCTTTTCCTTCCAGGAAAGACTGTTAGGGAGACTTAGTTCACAGATTAACTTAATAATTAGAGTGTCCTTTATTAATTCCATGTTCACAAAAACTTATTACGTGAGAAGGGTCACACTAGGGGTGTCCAGGGTCCTTTGGAAGCATTTAACTTCACAAGGAGCCATGGTGGTCAAGGTTTCGGTGAGGGCCTCCTCGAGAACATAATGTTAAAGCTGAGATCTTAAGGAGAAAAAGGCAGTGGGGGAGGACTCTGCAATGCAAGTACAAGTCCTGAGGTGAATGACAGCCAATAACTAGGGGATGTAAAGAAGACATGTTTAAAGAATAGAAAGAGAGAGAAGGGGCACAGCACACTGAGATTTGCTATCCTCGTTGATTTCTTAGGCAATCAAAGCTCATACTTCATAACACCTCATTAGAAGGTACAGTGGACCCTTGACTTACGAACTCCATGGGCTCCCAAGGGCTGGTTTTAACTATGTCAATACAGCTGAGACATGGATGTTTACCTGGGTACATACTATAGATAACAAGAGACAGATGAATCTTCCATTAACCTAATGAACTCAAGTTGTTCGTATGTCAGGCTGGTTGTACCTTGAGAGTCCACTGAATTAGATGTCTTGGCAGGGCAGAGTACAAGAAAAGAGCAGCCTTGGAATATTCACGCTCATAGCAGAGCTAGTGCTCTGAGGCTAGCATTAAAGCAGCAGTTATGATCAAACCACAGATACTTAATAAATGCAGT